TTTTGAGAAAGAAGAAGGATTGATGTACGGACCTGGCATTGCAGATTAGCATAAAACAGCTGTAAGTTTCCAAAAATGTTATTTTTCTATATCGAAAAATTTAAACGCGTTTTTCTCGAAACGACAATTTTCGAGCGGTGCGGAATGTAGCGCAAATAATTTTTAAATAACGAACTTCTCCTTGCGTACACATATTCTGTAACATCTTCTTCACAGCATGAACCTATTTTTATATAAATGTTTTTGAAATAAACAATTATTTTTTTTAGTATTATTTGTCTTAAAACGCATCTTTTTTTTGGAATATCACTATTTTTTCATTTTTGCCTTTTTTACTTAAAAATAAGTTCATATTGAGCGTATATTCATTAACTAACGTTTTCATTTTGAATTTTTGATTTCACATAAGGACAGCAATCCTTACACTCCACGGCGCGAAGCACTTTTTTTTTAATGGTGGACATATACATTCTCATAACATTTAAATACATATATATAAAAATAAACATTTTTTTCAAATCTATAATTACGTAATAAAATATACTAAAAGTTTCAAAAAGATTGATTCAATACATTCTTCACAATAAATTCCTGAAAATTGATGAATTTTTAGCTATTTGCATGAGTTTTCTCGCTTAAGACAATTCTAAATATAAAATCCGACTATGAATACCATTCAATATATACTTTTATGTGCGCTTGAGGGAATATCAATCTAGGACTTTTTAATAAATGCACGCTCTCTCTCTCTCTCTTCCTCTCTATTTTTTGATCAGTTCAATTTGGCTTGATCGATGCCAGATTCGACGTGTTTATAAAAAATGTGCATATATGAAAATATAGTCACGAAAACGATACGTGTCGCATGCATCACACTGCAAGCGAAAATGTTATTACTCACTTACCTCATTTTTCGAGCCATTGCTCTACCTAGGATACTGACAAGAAATCACTGGCGGATAACAACGCGCCGGTGAACCGCACCGGACAAAAACCGGGACTTGTTGTAAGTCATGGTGAGAAAATAACTCGCATCGTGATAACTCTCGCGCTACGCGAGCGAGCGGACCGGACACGCGGTTCTGACAATCGACGGAAAAAATCGTTTGTGCAACTATCGCCGCGGAGAAAAATGAATACAGGATGTAATTGATCGATTGAATTACGCGTCGTCGATAATCGGATATCATACGTGGACATTTGTCGAAATAAAACCTGATCGTGTCTAAAAAAAGAAATGATTTTATTACTCAATCGAGCAAATTCTGCGATTGTCATTTCCTGTTACTTCTCGCGATGTATTACAAAGTATAATTGTTCGAATCATAAATAAACGCGTATGATTATTTCAACACATAGTCCAGGATAATAATTCATTTCCACGAAACACACACGTGTTTTTGCGCAAGCAAATATAAAATTTTAATAAATACAAAAATCGCATATTCCCGATAAGAAAGTTAAATGTACTCACGTTCGCCGCGTTGAATGATCAATGGCAGTAGAACTCGGTAGTTCGTGAAGAACATCTGGATCTGGATCTAAATCCTTGATGACTGTTTCACAGTTTTCTGAAAAAAAAAAAAAATTATAAAAATTTATTATTAAACGCGGTTTTTCTTAAAATTAATGTAAGATAAACCTTGGAATCCTTGATGAGAAAAACTCTCAATAATAATTTCATTTTTATTTATATGTGTTTTATAATTTTACATTTACTTTAGAACCAAATGGCTCGAAAACATTTATTAATTAAAAAATACTATATAGATTATAATAATTATTTGTTTCAACACGTTATTGAAACACGTATACTGAAAAAAATCTGATTGGAATTAATTGGAGTTCTGATTGAAAATGGATAAATCAGAATTTTCTGATTGAATTTATTATAATTCTAGTTGAAATAATCAGATTCCGATTGACATCCCCATCTTATAAATTCAGTAAATTAATGTATACTATTTATACATATTATTTAGCACAAATTATTCGTCAATTAAAAAAATGCATTTATCTTTATCTAGAGAATATATGGAATATTATCAATTTTTGTTTCTCATAAATTATCAAAGACAAACAATGAAAATAGAGATATATTTTTTTAAACGTTATTACTCATATGGGGTGTCAGAAACACATGAATAATAGCGTTAAAAAAACCATGTGAGTAAAGGTTAAATATAATAATATATATTATTATTTTACCTTGAACAGAACTCTTCTCCGTTTCGTCTTCGGTAAGACGACAATCGCGCTCAAATCTGTCCGTTAATTGCCCGGATACTCTCCAGTCGTGTATCTCTTTCCGTAAAATGTAAATCGGATCATTGTTACCCGCGCTGGCGACGCTGGTCTCGTCGGACAAGCGAACCTTGTGTTTCACGTCGTCGAACAACATTTTATTTTCCCTCCGCGAAAGAAACCGCCGTCCGCGGGAACCTCGCGACTTTGTCGCGCCACTTTTTACAGTGTCCTCATCCTTCGAAGATGGCGTCTTTTGCGGCAACGTTCCTGTGGATACGGGCTTTTTTCCGTCGAGTATGGACTTCGAGCGACGCTCGGAAGAAATGTTTCTCGAGGACATGTTGACGGCATCTCTTCCACGATCGCGATATTTAGCTCCCTGAAAGATATTCAACAGAGTCATCAAACATCAATTACAACATGAAATAAATTAGTGTATAATCATATATAAATTGCTACTATAATTTGTTGCAAACGATAAAATTAATTAACAGCGTTAAAAAACGATATATTTAATTTAATACTAATTTATCGAGTAAAAAAAGAACTTTACAGATTATTTTCTGATGATAAAATCCCCTCTGCTATAATGCCAGAATTAAATTTTAACAAACTAGCATTTTTTCCATAGAGACCTTATTAAAATTAATATTATTGCTTACCATACGCTTTTGAATTTCTCAACATGTGACATTCGTTGTATGTATCTCTTTAACGAAAGATATATCGGAAAAAGAAGAAATTAAATGCAAATCGGCGTGAATCGCTATAACTTACAATCATGTCAGCGATAAAGTGGCGACGTGTTCGGAACGAAGGTTATAAATCTATGGCGGGACGTTGCGGCCACGAATTAGCTCGCTAAACAATCGCGCGATACATCATCCCTCTCCATCGACATTCGAAAACAAAACAAACTGTATTTATTGTTAATCTCTACCGTCGCGTGGGATTTCGCGAAAAACGCGACGGATGAACTGGCGATTTAACGTGCGCGCGTTCTAAAGTTTGTCGACTATGTACGTCGTACGTATACGTAAGTACAGCGCGTTTTAAAAGTTCGTTGAGAAACTCTTGGCTGTCAGCTGTCTCCGGCTCGCGCTACCGTAACGAAGACCACAAACTTATATAAGACCGTGATGAAGACAAAATGTTACGGAGATGCTCGTGCGGAACGGACGCTACGGAAACTCAACTGAATTGAGCGGCAAAACCCCGCTAACTCTCGATTGACGCTCGATTTCCGTCATTGGCGTGAACTTCGGGTTTAAAGTTTAAAGTAAGGGTCACGACAAGAAGGTTCGAACTAAAAGCTCGTCCGTAAAATCTACTCTAGACGATCCATCTATGGTTCTATAATCGTATCAAAATTCAGCACAAATTTTATTTATTATCTTCCCATTTATAAATTAGATCTACTTATGTATTTATTATATTTATAATTGACACACCATGTAACATAAATTTAAATTGCGTATGCAAAATTTATTAAATATATCACGTAGGAAATTGTAAATAAAAACGATTTCTTTTGAGAAAGCAGCATCTCTTCATGATTAGTGCAAAATTACTTTTCCTGATAATATGTAAATTATATGTTAAATGCGCGCATTTATCGATGAAAGTGAAATGTCAAGACGAATCACAATATAGGTCTGTTTTTTTTTATAGCTAAACTTCTTGCACAGTTCATTTTTTCTCCTTTTCTCTTCAAGTGAAAAGAAAAAAAAAAGATAAACCGTGCAAAAAGTTCAACTAAAAAAAGAACAAGCCCAATATAGCTCGATAACAATATCATGTTGCTCGTCATTCAAAAGTAATAACTGCATTCAGCAAAAAAGCAGCTTTGCAACTGTTACAAGATCCTTCAATATAATTGCTTCTTGTCCTTAATTCCTCACTGGAATTAAATATATAAAGCCCGACTGCATCAATATTATTTGACTTTAAGCGAGGCTTAAAACTCTCTTTATCTTTCCCTCTCTCTCAGTTTTAAAGAGAGAAAGTGAGAGTTTTAAGCCTCGCTTAAAGTCAAAATAACGTTGGTACAAAAGTCGGGCCTATCATAAACCAATCATATTAAATAAATCTTACAACAGTTGCAAAGCTGCTGTTTCTGCCAAACGCAGCCAATATGACGGCGATAGGCAACGACACGGACCTTTTTCGCGCCTCGATCCGACATCGGTACGGCACATCTGCCGCTCGATCGTTTCCTGCTGTGGGGACATCCGCCGATTTTGTTCAGAAAGGGCGATTAAAGAAAGGACGATCGTTCGATTAACCTGGTGGTCGTTGGACTTTCACCGCGCGTTCGACTCCCGCCAAAAAATTTCTCCGCGAACTTACCTTTTAAATGCAGCTGCGGCTCGGCAGCAGCTGAATCCGAAGACCGAAACTCGCGCGCGAGTGAGTTTCCCGACCGTTTTCGCTTCTCTCCCCTTCTCTTTCGCTGAATCCGAATAGCTGATCCGATCGATAAGGCGCTTGAAAGTGACGGAACGTCAGCGTTTACGACTACCAATATACGCGTTTAAAAATGTCGAATTGGAGAGCGATATCTGGACGAATAATGTCGAGGAAATCGCGCTGCATTTACCAGGACAATCATTCTAACGACGGTTTAAAATTTCATTCAAACGGTCGCGTTTGTTAACACAGACTTTTATGGTTGCCAACTGTAAGAATCGAAATCTTCGAATGGGAATAGTTTAAGAACGCGCCAATAGGAACAATTGAATATATAAGAAAAAAAAAAGACTTGTTTTGTTTTGCAATAAAAGCACTGAAGAATAAAATCAGCTTAGACGACAGTAGAGAGTACACGGGAATTAAAAAAGGCTACTTTTATATTCATTTCCGTCACTGTTATATTATCGGCGTTCATAAAATACCTACATCGTGACTGTATACATATATCGTGCGCACGTGTTTGTCCTAACCTCGAAAGCGCCCGTCGAAGTCTGGTGCAATTGCAATTAGATGCGATATTTATGGAAACGCAAAGAAGCAGAAGCTAACAAAGATATTTTGCATAAATATTAAGCTTTAACAATGGCGATGCAAGTTCCGACTGACGTGGATGCCGATCAGATTAAATCTGTATGTATCTCTAGTATAAATTCTTGAACAATAGTTTTGCTCCTTCTCATAAGCGGACTAAAAATATACTAGTAATGGGAATTGTATATACAGGGTGTCTCTAAATTCCCGCATACGGAGTACAAGACGTGATACTTTATGCTAAAACAAACAACTTTTTTCTTTAACAAAATTGCGCCCGATAAATATACTCTAATATGCGGGAATTTAGAGACACCCTATATGTATATGCATCTTTAATGAGACAACAAACTATTACATGTATAGTGTAATTTGAATATTATTTATGTTCTACAGTTTCGAGACTTCTTAACTTCATATAATAAGCTCTCTGAAATTTGCTTTATCGACTGCATATCTGATTTCACTACGCGAGAGATCAGAGCCAAAGAAGAGAAATGCGCCCTTAACTGCATGGAAAAATACCTGAAAATGAATCAGAGGATATCGCAACGTTTTCAAGAGTTTCAAATAACTGCCAATGAAAATATTCTGGCAGCTAAAAGACAAGGTCAGATAAATTGACTTAACTAGAAAAAAATGTAAGAAAAATGATCTTGTCATGAACATCTATCTGAATCATCGTACTGTAATATTATAAAATTAGAACAAACATTTGTAAGTTTCTTAAATACCTTTCTGTACGATATAGTCTGATCTATTCAATATTTAATAGATACTTGTTCAAGATCAAAATATTTTATTTTCAAATTAAAAGACATTGTACAGTAAATGATTATTTACTATATATTGTAATATAAAATAGTAAACATTAAATTATGAAAGCGATGGAGTTAATGTACATGTTAAAAGATAAGTAAACTTGTTTTTTTAAATATGAATATGGAAGTGAATTTAATTCTGAACCATTAGTCTTACATATACTATAATTTGTCCCAGTTTTAACAATTGCATAAATATTACAATTTTTACAATAGTAAATTACGATAATATATGAATAATTATAAATTTATTAATTAAAAACAGTGAAATACTTATTTATATTACAGTTCTTGTAGAATCTCTTCGCGTCATACGATTATTACGAATATTAACATTTCCAATTCTAGTAAAATAAAGAGTTTGTACAGAAAACTTACATACAGGCCATATACACGCCGTGTACACGTCATATACATATCTTTTAGAAGAAACAATAACAATGAATATGTATTTATATGTATATATTTAACTAGATTTGGAATGTCCAAAATCAGGAAACTTTGGCTTTCCTTGTACTTCAATGTCCATACTTTCGCTTTCCCATTCAAATGAAGAAAACGTTTGTACATTTGCTTGTATAGAGCCAATATTGCTTTGCGTTTGATTTAGAATTTGTGGACTGAAGCTCGTGCTGGAAATCTGAGGCTCCTCGGTTTGCATCGTAGAGTCTGAATTCGGTGAATTCGGCGGTGTTTTACGCAATCTCTTGTAGTCTGAGAATCTGTTCAATGATACTTGATCTACGCACACAGCCTGTGTGGTATGTCGCGTTTTATACAGTATTGGGCAGCCTTGATCGCCCTTCATACTTAAACTATACAAATTGGCGAGTCGACGTAGCTTCTCTCGCTCAGGTTGTCGCATAGGATGGAGTTTTAGCTCGCTCTGTGTGGGATCTTGCAGGAATCGAGAGACTTTCTCGTTGGCTGATGTTATAATGGAATAACCAGGCTTGTTGTCAACATGACGTCGCCCAGCACGGATCTCTCTACCGCTGAGGCCTTCACGAATGCGTTGTATTCTCTGTTTATAATTTTTCTTGGCCTCTGCAACGGAATGTTCGCCATGCAATATCATTTGGAAGGTCGAATCCGACGTAGCTTTGTCGTCGCTAGTGCTCTCTCCGTCGTCTCGCCAACTCGACTCTCCGATCCAATCCGACTGTTCGTCGTCTCCTACAATAATTTATAGATATATAATTTGTAATATACACTGCGTAATTATTTTATATATTCAAGCCCATTTCCAGAATATAAACTCTTTCTTCTTTTTTAATTTTTAGAATTAGAAAAAGATAAAAAGTAAGTTAAGGGAATCCTAAAGCCGTTTGTATTACCGGCTAATCATAATTTTTGTTTAACAATTACTTTTACCTCTTTTATAGATTCGAAAATCCTTTTCCAGGATTAAAGTATACGCATTAATATGTGTTTGTGAGGAGGAGTTCATGCTGAAAACGACAAAAAATTTTCTTAAGATCTCAATTTCGAAATTTTTTTGTCGTTCTCGGAGTAAACTCCACCTCACAGACACATATTAATGCGTATACTTTAATCTTGGAAAAAGATTTTCGAGAGAGAGAGAGAGAGAGAGAGAGAGAGAGAGAGAGAGAGAGAGAGAGAGTGAGAGAGAGAGAGAGAGAGAGAGAGAGAGAGAATCTGTAAAAGAGGAAAAAAGTAATTGTTATATAAAAAAGACGATTTTAATTTTGGAAAATTTTTTTGTTAGGCCTTCGATCACAATTTCGCAAGCTCAGGATTGTTTGTCATACACTTCCGAGGAAGGTATCATTTGGTACGTACGATCTATAGAATTTCCGCATTAAGAGAATTATAACCTGTGGTGACAGCTGCAAGAGCTGAAATAAAGTGAATTTTTAATTTTTTCTTCAATTTTCTCGTCAAATTTAATGTGGCCGGTGTTTTTTTTTTGTGCGTACTTTTATTGTGTAAAAGGATTTGGTGATCTATAAAGCCAATTCGAAGAAATTAGCAATTTGCAATTGTCGGTAGTTCCTGTTGGTTTAGTCCGCAAACACAATAGAGCAGTAAGCCTTAAGAAATTGATCAATCGTAGTCGATTATTTTTCTCACATTCGACTATAGCTTACTACTTTATTGTGTTTGCAGACTTAGAATCCCCTTAAACCAAAATTAAAGTTAATCTCATACTGATGGAACCGGGCCTCAGTACCGCTTTCAAGTTTGCCGTACCTTCTCTATCTTCATCGTTTGTAATAAGACCTGCCTCCGAATCACTGGACGAAATGCTGGAACTAGATATACGAGAACAATCCACCGTATCCTCGCCTTGCATTTTATCTCGATTTTTCGGTTTTGCATTTTTGGTTGGTTTAGCTACTCTCATTTCACAATCTATTCCTACACGATCTTTTACGTTTTCCGCACCTGGAATGCAAAACTTAAGCAATCTGTACATTGTTTCTTATTGCGAATAGAAAACAAATAATTGAACTTTATTTCCTTACCATATAGCACTATATCTATTTTTACAATCGCTTCGAAAGATACGTTTTTTTCCACCGAATGTTGAAGTCGACATAATTGCCACTGCTTGAGAAGTGGACGCATTAGAATCGGAATCAATTGCCATTCTTTTAAACTTTCTCTTGCGTCTGGTGTTTGCTCTTGGCACAAAATTTTCATTTACTGAATCGCTCTCGATATTACTGACGTTATTTAAGTTTGGAAAATGTGCGAAACGTTTGGTCTGATTAGGATCGTCACTATCGGACTGATATTTCGAAACATTGGCAGTTTTTGGAATGCGAATTTCGCAAATGGAAGATGAGCTGTCGTCCGAATGTTTGTTCATGCTTAATGCCGCTGCAAAAATATTATATAATACATTAATTATTCAATATTACTTGATAATTCAATACGTTATTTTAATTCTTGATAATTAAATGCGATTAATATTTAACTTTTTCATGCTGTAAAGATTCATTTCTACAAAGATAATCTTGATAATAATCCTGACTGTGCATCATGCAGAAGTAAATTGCAATTAATCGTTGCGTAGGTGCAATTAGAATGCTTGAGATATATTCTCTATTATTTTTAATTTAATGGAATGTTTAATTTAAAGTTTTTAATAGACCTGTTCTTTTTAGATGAATCATCAAGATTCATTTTTTCCTTTTTTCCCTCCACACACAAACACACACACACAATACGAATGAACCATGCAAGAACTACAATTCGATCTATGCTCATGATGCTCTTGCAATAAATTAATCCTTGTTGTTTAACAAAAATTAAACTAGAAGTCTGTTTTCTATAGCTGAACTAGTATACTTTTGGAACTTAAAGTGAAATAGATATATGTTTGATGAAAGTAAAAAAGTTCTTTGCCATTCTTTATTTTTGCATTATATTGTCCTCAAATTTAACTTTTCTCACTATACCTCTTTACTTTTTATATTCTTATGTCTATTTCTACCAATGTAGATTAACTTTAATCTTGATTTAACCTTTAGATACCTAAGTTAATGAAATATGTGTAATGAACTGAGTTAATTTAGATCCTTCAGAGTTTTCTTTGAAATTTATCGTCGTAAGTGTTTCTAAAATGTTAGACAGTTCAAAAAATAATACTGAAAACTTTTTATTGCTATTATTATATATTGCTAACTTCATTGGAACAAAAATTAAAGCAAAATAATCATATGGTGGACTCAAGTTACCCCGCTTAAGTATCTAAGGATTAAATAATGTCTTAAAATGCTAATCATATGGCTCTCTGGCTGATATTCATGGTCGATACTTATTTTTAAGACTGTCTTAAGTATAGTCTTAAGATGTTAAACCAATCAGAAGGCTGTGTTCGCATATTAGCACTTAAAATAAGAACGAACTATGAATGTTGCCCTCTGATTAGTACATGTCATCTTAAGATTGTACTTAAGAATCTTAAATATAAGAAGCGAGCATGAATACCAGCCATAATTCTTAGAATCAGAAATGAGTTAATTGAACCGAGATTAAAATTAAACTACATTAGTAGAAACGGGTTTACTGTAGAATAAGCGCTAATCCAGTGCAATTTAGTACAGGAATAACAAAGAGACCTAAGGACAAACGATGCTGCGAAGATTGTGAGAGCGAATCGGATCACAGTCATGAAGCTCATCTGAAAAGAACAGGCCTGATGTTACATCGAATTGATTATCCCTTACACTTACGAATATTCCCCGTGGAGCGGGCTCTCCTCCTAATGCCCCATCTGCGTCTCAGATTTGCACTGTTGCTGCTCTCCTCCAGTGCCAAAGTCAAATCGTGCACAAGAGCCTCCATTTTTACTCTTAAATCCGCCGGTACAGCTTTCAGAACACGCTCCATTTGAAGGATGCGTTTTTTGCTACAAAGCAAACATCAGGCAAATGTTATCCCTTACTCGACTAATCCTGCATGTCGGTAATCGCATGTAATTATCACGAGTATCGGTACGCGACGCAAATTTACATGGCGACTGGTTCATTCTACTATCTCGAAAAATCATGTCTTTACAATGCGACATTTAACTCTAAAATACATAAAAGTACAGCTCTGCGAGCCGCATCTCGATTGATGCGCGATGCATTTCTCAATTACGATAATCAATTCGCGACGTTGATTCCGCGACTCTGTACGAGAAATACGCTTATTCACGAGTTGCTTATTCACATCTGATTAAAGGTATTGTTTCTACGGTGTGGATCCGTGCCGGATAAGTAACGCGATTAATCTGCGATCCATTCTCGAGGAAAGGAATGTGACGACCGATCTCGTTTGCGTCTCGAAACGGGCTACGGGAACACACAGATGTGGCACCGAAAAGAGGTGCCCATCGGGACGTATCCGCGATACGTCAATCGCCGAGGAGGGGGTCAAAACAAATCGCGATTGCGTCGGCTTTTAACTCTCCTCGGCGTGTGACAATACGTAACATCCTGCCGCTCACCTCTTACAAGTAATGTCCATCAGTCTCGCCTCAAAACTGTCTCATTGTCAAACCCGGTCCACTCTGTCGATCAATAATGAAATAGATAAAAAGAGAGGATCGTCGAACGTCAAGTAAACGAGAGCTATCGGCTGGATCAACTATTTTCCGTTTGTAACGTATGCTTGCACGTCGCAGAAAGATACAACGAACGGTACGTTTATTCGGTACATACGATCGGGCAACGCTGTTGGTCGCTTCATGAGAACCCGTCCTTAGTTGCAGGAAACGTGCAAAAACGCACCGTCGACGTTTATTCACGATAGATAAATACGGATAAATAAGGCTACATTCCCAAACAAAATACGTATAACGTATTGAATAAAATTTTCTTTGGAGAGGATGTTTTGGAATATATAGTCCAAGTAAGATCACTGGCGTTTTATGCAAGTTTTCCCTCTTCCTCTTTACGTTATAAATTTTAATTGTACCTATCCAATTTTATATTGCTCCTGATTTCGTTAGTCTCGTTAATTATATGTTCATTTCAAGTTGTGGGCTGTATTTCCTTAGCTGGTACTACAAGTTCAAATTTCAGTAGGTATGAAGCAAAAAAAGAATGTAATATTAAATTTAATTTTGATTCAATTTATTCTTTATTTTTTTCTAACTTTAAGGAGGTATTCATGTAGTCGGATCAAGAATAATTCTAAAAATACGAAAAGATGAACAATAAACACAAATCTAAAAATAGGAAAAGACGAACATTAAAAGTTAAACCAAGTTACATTGGTGGAACCGAGCCTAAAGCGTTCATTTTGGGATGAACCATCTAATCTAAGAATATAAAAAAATAGAAAAATATGAGAAAAGAGTGAATTTAAGAACAATAATGCAGAAACAAAGAAGGCAAAGAGCAAGTAACAAAAGAGAGAGGAACTTGATTTTTTTACGTCTAGATTCAATTTGAATTGATCACCGACTGTACAATATTTAAAAATTTTATTTTAATCGATTTTATCAGTTAAATTAACCCTAGTTATACATGCTCTTTTTTTTCTGCCCTTTATATACACCCTCGGATCCCTGAGACCCCATTCATATTTGTTATCGTAATTTCCGTAAAAATGGACATATTTCAATTAATTTTTTTTTCAATCGATGGAGAATTGATTAAGAAACAAGTTCATAATGTGTAAAAGTCGATGGAATTAAGGAGCTTCGAGATATATAGATTCAAAGAAAAAAAAAGTTTAAAAACACGAAAACAATCTCGTTTTAGCAAATTGTACTGGAGTTTCTGAGACGCCTGTGTGTGTAGCTAAAGTTAATTTCCAAATTTTATTTCTGTTTTTTTTTGCGTGGTATGCGTTTTCTGTAAGTTGTAAAAAGGGACGTTACAATTTTCTGTTCGCAACAATAAACAATTTTTTATCTGCGTTATCTATATAAATGCGTATAAATAAGAGCGTTAACCATAATTTTCGTTATTAGATGTAAAAAAATTTCACGTTAGATGAGGAGGGGAGGGCGGCGTTGATGCATTCCGAAAGTTAGTGTTCCAAACTCTATCTAATGTAAATTGATATGTATCAAAAGTATCAAAACCAAATGAAGAACTCATAAAATAAAAAAATAAAATAAAGCTATAATAAAATATAAAATAAAACAAATCTATAAATTAAAAAACGATTTATTTTTTTATGTAGCTATATTTATATAAATATAATTATTTTTTGAAAACTAACGAAAAAAGTAACGGTTTTTTTCGTTCCTTTTAAGTAACGATGACGCGTTCTTTTTACAATCGGTAACAAGTAACGAGTAACGTATTATTTTTTACCGCAAGTAACGGTAACTGTAACACGTTATTTAAAAACGGTAACGTTAACAACCCTATATATAGAGGAAAGACCCCTATTATGAGATAGGCGCCTAATATGAGATAGCGGCGTTTCCGCTAAAACTAATAAACGCTATCTATTGATCCCACCACGAATTTATTGTTCTTGGATTGAAAACTATTTAATGGAAAATTTATTATTAGATCATGCCTGTGATTGTTTAAAAAAAAGATTTTAGAATTTGGATGTCTTCAAGTTCGTTGAGATGTGCTTTAAACCTTGTTTATTATTTAATAAATGAATACTTGGTAATAAATTCTTCATGTAGTGATAGAGTAAGATCGTATTAATAGAAAAATACGGGATATGTTAAATTGTTTAATTATAGAAGTTAGATCTGATGATCGTAAGGCGTGGAAATCGTAATATGAGATACCCAGGGTATCTCTAATATGAAATAACCTATGCTAAAGTATAAATGTCATTGTACTATAATAAAAAGGACAATCGGAATGAACATCGAGTGCCTGTTTTTGCGATGTTTGGTTCCAACTACCTGAAGACGAGTCCTAGGTACAATGCATCGTATGATCATTTTGCGCGCGCACTGGCTATGTTTGTTTGGCTATGTTTTAGAAACATTAAATTTTTTAATTATAATGTTAATGCTGATGTACTTTATTATCTATTTCTGGAGGCATCTCATATATTAGAAGCACAATTTTTTGATTTTGCGATTTACTCACTTTTTACATTTTCTTAATTTAAAAAAAATGGAATTTGAATTAAATTTTAGGTAATGTCATCTTAAAGCTTATTAAATTCCCTTCAAAATGACCTATTATTTTTTAAAATTCTGCCCATAGATTTCTAGTATTTATCCAAAATGAACTCGGTATCTCATAATGGGGGCCTTTCCTCTAATATATTTATTGTGACCATATTAGTACAGCGCATACAGCGGCGACGTCACTAACGACGTGTTCATATCTTGACAGAAAAGCAGCAGCCAATCGGAACTCGCGCTGTAATAAACAATACAAAAAACAGAAATTGTCAACTACCACCGCGAGTTTTGATGAGCTGCTGCTTTTCTACTTTCAGCTTTTTTTATAAGATGTGAATGCGCCCTAACGGTGATCGCTTCAGGAAGGGGAAGATTGGTGGAATCCCTGGTCCACAGTGGTTAGTTTGAAATGTATTATTCGGACTGTTCGTAAAGGTAGCAGCGAAATGCGGCGCGCATGCGTGCACGGTTTAATGCGTTGGAGGTGTAGAAATTGACCAATCGTAGTCGAATGTGAGGAGGACACTCAACTGTAATTGGTCGGTTTCTACGTTTACACCTTAATCCACCACTGTTTGGGTGAAATCACACAGTGTGGAAAAAGACTGCGGAATAGAGAATGCGTCATTGAAGCAACCAATCAACGCTATTCAGCGCTATTCGGAATAGCGCTGATTGGTTGCTTCAATGACGCAGTCTCTATTCCGCAGTCTTTTTCCACACCGTGTGATTTCACCCTTTCTGCCCACTGTAGATTACGCATTAAGAGGTGACTTGGTGGCGCTCGGAATCGCCTGCGACATGAGTCTGCTTTGTTAGCAAGGCTATTTCTGAGTACTCTGTCGCTCGAGACGGACCGCGAGTATTCGGCGAACGTCTGTACGAGTTGGTGGTTATTATCGCCGCGAGTGACGTGAGTGACGCGACTGACGAGTATAAAATGATATCATGCGTGAAACCGAACGCACCCAAGTTAGTTACATTCGAATGTGATTGGCTGTGTGATTTATAGCTCCAACTGGACGCGGCAAACATTTCCGCCAATTTCCGCGTCCAGTGTGTAGCAGTGTGCAGGAGCCATTAGCTCTCGCTACTTTCAGGTTACTCGCGGGAGCTCATTTTGCTGTTATCTCAACCAGCAGAGGTCGCGGGGGAACTTCGCGGACGCGGATGTACGAGACGAGAGGGGTAGAGGTAGACGAGACGCAGAAGGAGAGTGAAACGGTTCGAGTCCGAGTAGCTGCGTTTGCTGTAATTGCTGATCTATTTGACGATATCGGGGTGAAAAAACGAAGTGAACATTGATTATAGACTGATATTGATAATATACAAAACAGTAATCGACGAGACGTGATCGTTTGACTCCGCGATGGACGGCACGAACGTGAATGGCGGGAACGCCGAAGTAACGCGCGACGATCCTAACCTCGGTGGCGATGGCGACTGTGATGCTGGTGTTGTTGATAGGGTGACGGAAACGCCAGATCGACCGGATTCCAGTGACAAAGCCCAACCGACGGCTGCTGGTGGTAACGGAGACGCACAGGAAGTTAACGGCGAAGTTGGCTCGGCCAAAAAACATAGCATGTTGCTGCCCCGTAAGAGGATGAGAAGGTTCAAGGCCAACTCCACGGATGCTATGGAGAACAATGCGGCGAAAACGCCTGGAACGAGGGGACGCAAACGCAAGCTCGCGGATCTTGAAACTATCAGCTCCGAAGATTCCGAAGAATTCAACGGCTTTGACTCTCAAGGACTTGAATCACAACCGGGCAGTCACGTTCTGAAGAAGCTTATTGGTAAGTTTTTTGTGATTCATATATATGCTTTTGGTCTATAATAAATGTATAAAAAAATCTTTTTATTTGATTCTTGTACATTGTTTTAGATTGTTGGATAAATTAAGAGAGCAAGATTGGGATTTTCAAATTGAAATTTAATTTGTCTGAAAGATTTTTTTGTTTTCTTGCGACACTATAAAAAATATGTTGCTTATAAGCAAAAAAAACAAACAATAACAATTAAAAAGAAAACGAACAATATTGCTGCAAGTTGGGGGTGCCAAGTTCACAAAGTCTCTTTAAGGGGATGCTGGAGTACCTACGCGGAAGGTGTATCATTTTAGATTTCTCAAACCATTTCGTTTTCCTTGTACAGAATAACAAATCCTTCTCCAGAATAAAATAAACGCAAATACCTTTGGAAAAGTACAAACCGATATGAAAATTCTCCAAAAAATTGTAAATTACAGTTTTCTGTTACTATGTAGATTCGTTCCTTCACATACACTGTTAGAAATGTGACCACGAGCTTTACATGTAAATGAAGCTCATGGTTACGAACGAAATTAAAAGTAATAAATGATTTAACCGAAAATTAAGTTACAGTCGTTATTTAAATGTAATGAACGTTTACATTAAATTTCATAAATTTTCATGAAAAATACATATTTATGTAATTTACAATTTATATACATAATATTTATGTAATTTATAATTTTTTGGAAATTTTCATACCGGTTTGTACTTTTCCAAAGGTATTTGCGTTTTTTATTTTATTCTGAAGAAGGACTTTTTATTCTGTATAAGGAAAACGAAATGAGCCTTCCGTCGATATTCCAGCATCCCCTTAAGGAAAAACACAAAAAAATTTTTAGTGTTTTTTTATTTTATCCTATTACAGTATTGCTGGAACTGTTGTCCTCGTTGTCGGATACATAACACCCCTGTGAAGCTGGTCCCCCATTTTAAAAAAATCAAATTTTTTTTAGAGTTCTGAATAGATTTTCGATAGTTCCAGAGTTCTTGACATATTTTAGAAGTAGTTCTGTTCGAGAAAGTAAAAAAAAATGCGATTGAATATCTAAAATAGGTATACAATAAATAGGTATAACTTTAAAAATATTAATTTAATCCAATTTTCTCATTAAGATTTTTTATAGACCTTCGCGGGGGCTATCCAGAAACTCTCAATAGAACTGTCAGAACTCTTCAAAAAATTTTTTGTACTTTAAAATTAAAAAATCGACGTCTATAATCGCTTGTAACTTTTCCAATTTGAGTTCCATGAACTTTTGCCGTAAGGATTTTCGATAGAACTCCGCGGGGGCTACCTAGAACTCTCAACAGAACTATCAGAATTCTTAAAAAAATTTTTTGTATTTTAAAATTAAAAAATCGACACCTGTAATCGCTCGTAGCTTTTTCAATTTTAATTCCACGGATTTTTGCCATAAGGATTTTCGATAGAACTCGATAATGCATTGTGTAAGGATTACTGTGGCATCAAAAACATTCGAGCTAATAATTCTTACGACATTCCACGAGCGATATAAGATAGTACTGATACGCAGCGCACTGATTTGCAGGGAGAAGACGTTTACGTCTCTTTGATTTCTCACGCGTTGCAGTTAACAAAAAAATCGGATTTTGTCATATTTTGATAGTACATGACCCAACGATTATTCTGATACCAAATATATTTAAGTAAATAATTCTGTGAAGGTAGAAAAGAGACTTGAAGTAGAGCGACGCGGATCGCTGATATTGATATTTCTTTAAAAATATTAAATTTCCGAATTTTATTTACGCTATCTTGGAGCAAATAAAAAACAAAAAAATCTGTGTGTGCTTAATTTCTTTGTAGCACCACTGGATCTATTTTTTCAGTATGGGGGGTCCAGTTTTATCTTAACCTGGACCCCCCCCCCAATTTGTTTTTTTCTCTGTAAATCGCTGGAGCAAAAAAAATTTTCTTTTTTAGCAAATAATTAGCAAATAAAGAGCACTAAATTTTTGACCTATCGCGAATTTGATTTTTGATGGTGCGAGGTTAATGGGGGTAAAATAAATGGGTACACAAATAATGTATAGCTAATTCTTCATGATTAGCTCACTATCCGATTCGGAATCAGATAGCTGCTCTATAAAAAGCAGGTATACCTCCTCCTCAGCATCATCTTCCTCCGATTCTATCTCGTCCTTATCGGATACAATTTCAACATTCACCGGATCATCCGGCAACTCGATTTCATTATCGGTGTACACTCCGTCCGTCTTACCCTCACCAACGTCACTCTCCTCTTCCCCTATAGGGAAGTAGGGAACCGCGTTAGCATACGGAGGAAATTCCTCCTCATCACCTACGTTCAATCACCATTATTAAGAGAATACACAACAATTATGTTATTGCTGAAAGGTACGATCGCAGCATATTTCTTGTGCTGCCACGCTCTTGAGATACATGTCCGCGCACGATCTAGCGGCTTGGCCGTCGAGGGATAGTGGGGGAAAAGTAGGCAGGGCTTCAGAAATCGGCCCGAAATGTGCTAATTTCCAGCACTGGCTCAGTCCTGCGCCGTACCTTCCAGCAATAACACAATTATTGTGTATTTTCGTAATAATGGTGATTGAACACGTGGGTGACGAGGAGGAATTTCCTCCGTATACTAACGCGGCTCCCTTCTTCCCTATAGGGGAAGAAGAAAATGGATGGGGGTAATAGTGAGACGGATGGTACATCGAGAGACGATGACATCGAGTTGCCGGATAATCCGGCCAATATCGAGATTGACAATTGAAATTATGGAATCGGAAGAAGAAGACGACAATGAGGAGCTGAAGGAGCTACTCCATCTGCTTATTGTAGACATTATAGAGCAACCCGATTCCAAATCGGATGGTGAGATAATGGACTAGTTACATATTATTTTTGTATCTATTTATTTTATGTAGTGTTGTAGTTTTTAGTGTAGTGTGATATACACAGTAGTAATGTAGTGTCACATATATGTATATATAATATGTATATAGAACCTATGAATAAGCATTTGGATTACTTTTGGGTTTAATCCTCCCGGCTTCCTGTTGGTGCTTCCGGTGAGTGGTTTTTCTATTTTTAGTTTTAATTTTTAATTAGTTATGAACGCTTTTAAACGATTTACGTGCGTACAAAAAGTTTTTCGTCTCTTTTTTTGTAGTGTAGTTTACGTCGGAATGTTTTACGATTACCGTATAGAGACTTATCCACGGAGATTCTAATTTTTTCGATCTTCCTCGTCGTACCGTTTCGTCATATAGAAGTACTTCGTCTCCTACCTTAAATTTTATTTCCTTCTACTTTTAATCTTGATATTCCTTGGCTTTCTATTTTTCTTCTTTTAATTGCTGTTTCATAATCTGGTTGGATGCTGATATTCTCTTTAATTTCTAGTTGTACGATAGTTTCGGGGGACTTAACAAGGCCGTAGGTAATGTAGTCGTGTACCCTGTTGCCGTGTTGAGGGGGGAGGGGGTGGTGGTATTATACGCGAATATAGCATGTGGCAACCAGTCATCCCAATCAGTTTGATCCGCGTTTGTAAAGTGTCGAAGATATTCTGCCAAGGTTCGATGAGATTGTTCGAGTGCTCCATTACTCTGGATGGTAGGCATTGTGTTTGAATTTTATTAATTTTCAATAGCTTGTATACGTTTTTAAATATTTCGCTTAGGAAGTTAGTACCTTAATCTGTTAATACTGTTTCTGGAATTCCGTATTCTAATATTATTTTCGTCGTGAATTCTTTTGCAATGGTTACAGCTTCTTGATTTAGTATCAGTATCACTTTACTAAAGGACGTTTCATATGGAAAAATGATCCCGGTCAAATTGCTCCGTTTTCAGATATGTTGTACTTCTTGTGATTCTGAACAAATATTTCCATTGCCACAGTCACATAAAATCAACAGATAAAAAGATATAGCGCTTTAAAGTCAGAATTTGAATGCCGCCATTATATCTCCTTAAGATAACTTGATGCTTTCTTTTATATATAATAGGTATACATACGCATGTATTCTTGAATGTAATTTTGAATGTATCTTTTTAATGTATCTTTATAGTTAAAAATTAATGTAATTAAAGTTACTTTCTGTAATTGAAGCGTAAGTAAATATATGTTTAAAATTTGCGAAAAAATTTAATATAGTCTAGCAACAATAAAAAAAAAATTTTTAGACTTTTACGTAACCCCCTTTAGAGCATAGTGATTATACAGTGCTTTCCACTGCAACTCTTAAGCTGCGGCACGTAAGATATCCTTAGTAGAGATGCAGGTATGAAATACTTGTAGATAAAAAATCTTTAAGTGAAACCCTCTTATGCACTATACCATTCATTTCTCATAACTTGCTCAACAGGTGAAGGAGTTCCATTATTAGAAGCGAATAATAAAGATTTATTAATTTCAACAATTTGTGTAAAAATATAACGTTGCGGTCTTAATTAGACCATCTTCAGTATATACAGGGTGTTTCCAAATTAAATGGCAAAACTTCGGGAGCGTGTAGAGGAGTAAAAAACTAAGAAAAAAAGTCCTATAGACATATGCTCCTTTTTGCTTTGTTTCGCAGGAAATCACGAAAAAAGAAAAAAATATATTTAATTTATTATTTTAATTATTTTATTTATAAACTTTTTAATGAAGATTTTGTTCGAAATGTGCACCTCTTGCAGCAATACAAGCATTGCATCTGTCAAACACGGCTCTTGTAGCAGCCAGGCACTGTTCTTGCGATATTCTGTTCGCTGCAGCTACGATACGATTTCTCAAATGTTGCTCTGATTGAATAGGCGAAGAATAAACTTCTTGCTTCAGAGTACCCCATATATATATACAGGATCATGTTAAGTCGGGCGAACGAGTTGCCCAATGTACTGCTCCTCCACGTCCAATCCATCGTTGTGGGAATTTTCTATCTAAC